AGCTCTGTGTGCTGGGCGTTCCTGTTGTGCTTTTTACCAAAACACACATGCATGCAGCCTGGTTGGGCAATGGAGCTGCAAGGAGCTTGTGTCCATGACAGCTCCCCCCGCTTCCAGCCGGCCAGAGCCTTAGGGGAGAACTCGGCACGGGCTGTCGGTGCCCTGGAGAGGCACTTCTGTGGTCCTGATGCTCTGGTGTCACCAGTGCAGTTTTTGGAAGGTGTGAACTGCAGTCAGTATCCAGCCCCGGATCTGGACAGCCAGAGGTGGCTTTTTGGCGTTTTTGGCGAGTGGGCTGAACTGGCAGAGCCTGACAGCCGATGCAGGGGGTGCTCGGGAGAGGCAGCCATGTCCCACAGCTGCGGCTGCTGCTGCCCTCCGCAACCTGTGTGAGGCTGTGGGCGTAAGGCCGGAGGTGGGAGTTGGTGCTGAGCAGATGCTTTGCGGGTAGAGCCTGAGTAAGATGGTCTGCAGGGTCGCCTGTGGGCGCGAGGTGTAGGAAACTCAGCCCCACTTCTGGAATGAGAGGGAAGGGCACTGGGAGTGATGGCGTGTACAGTCCTGCACAGCCCCTAGAAACCAGTTCTCACGTGTGCGCCCCGCTATAAAATACCATTTCGAAAGGCGGGTGCTTGCGGCTAGTTTTGCATTTGAGAGTCCTGCAGTTACCTATGACAGCTCCTTTCTGTCAGCTCTCGATGCCCAGCTCCATCTCGCGGGAGGAAGACTGCCCTGAGCTGTGAGGGCTGATGGTTTGGAGGCACCGCCTGCCTCGTGCCCCCCCAGTTCTTATTTTGTGTTTCTGCCTAAGGCACAAGTGTGTGTTCGCCTCCTCTCCCGTCGCTCCAAGTGCTTCAGAGCCAGAGCTGTACTGAGCACCCCACAGCGCTCTCCTACCGCTATCTGGGAGCTGCAGTGGCGCCAATAAATTAATGAGTGTCTGGGATTAATTAGCAATGAGTTGCCTCGACTTGCCTCACTCTCACTCCCAGTAAAGCAGGATTTACACCTCTCGCTCCTTCCACCCGCAGAGGAAGGCAAGGAAGCCGCTCGCATTTCCCAAGGGTCCCAGAAGCAGAGGAGCCGCACGCGTGGGATGTCACGATCTGACCTCGAACAGCTGGCCCAAGGGGAAGAGGACATTGTGGAGGACTTGGCTTTCTCCGATGACGACTGAGCACCCTCACCACCACCCCCTCCAAGCTTGTCCCTTACAGAGCCGCTCCGTACTGGATCACACAGCCTTCCGCACCTGTACCTGGTCCTCAAAGAGGTGGTAAGAGCTGGGGAGGACGGAGGGTGGGAGCCCAGCCCCGGGTGCCACCAAGGACTTTCTCAGTGACACAGCAGAGACGCTACTTGGACTTTCAAGCTTTTTCTACCGGTTATGTTTTTGGTAACGGTAAAATTGTGGTCACGTCAAAGCCAGTAAAACTGTTCAGCATAGGTAATAAAAAGCCTTCATTAAAATCTGCTGCTTTAAATAGCGTAGGGTTCGGTTTCAGCTCCTGCTGGAACCCAAGTGAGCTGACCAAGGGGAAGGACAAGTTCTTTTGTCTAAGGGTCCAACTGTCTGTTCAGCCAACCACCTGTGTGGCCCCCTATTTTCCTCTGGGCCCTCACCAAACCCCTCCCCTTTGCCACGAAGTTGTTAAAGATTGCATAGGGTGTTTCAGAGCTGTGTATATTCACTGCAAATGGAAGCCTTTATCAGGAACATCAGAAGCAATTCGATCACTCTGGCTGTAAGTATGCTAAAGTTAACTTTTTAAGTAAGTGCGCGCCTTAGGATATTTTGGGGGCAAGGGGGGAGGTTGTGCAGGCACGAAGGAGTAAGAAGGGGCAAAACTAATAATGTAGGAAACATACTTTCATGTTGTGCTGCTGTTGGATTTGCACGGGATACGTTTGCTTAGCAAAAACAAGGGACGAGCCCGAGCCCGTGCTTTGTATCAGACCTATTGTTATCCACAGCGACATACAATCGCCTCTTTCCAGGGCCAGTCGTAGCTGCTGCTGGTGGTGAACATCGTCGAGTTCTGTGAGTCCTGGGAACAGCAGTGATGATTGAAGGCTGTCTTGGGCTCCCAGCCTGTCTTTATTACACCTCAAAGCCCACCACTGCAGCCCCTGGGCAGCTTCTAGGTGCAGCTCATTATGTGTCCTCTTGTGGGAGGACGCTGTGTAGCTCAAGGTGGGTAAGGGCAACTTGTGATCTCCTGGGAAAATATAAACAGCTTATCTTGTGAGACCACTGTTAGTCTGTGGGACTGGCAGCTAGGAAACGTATTTCTTTGGAAAATAAACTGGAAATGGAGGGTATTTGCCGAGCAAGGTAGGAAAGTTAAGTAGTATTAGGGCGTATGTGACAGAATCACTCCTGAAAATTAACTGGGCCTGTCACGAGTATTGTTATTTGTCAATGCAGATTTTTGGAACAGAAGATAGAGAGCCGGGACTAAATGCGATCTTTAGTCCTCTCTGCCACTGTTCAGCGAGGTCAGTAGTTGTCTGTCAGCGCTAGGGGTGGCCGAGCCACCTGCACACACGTGGTCACCTCTGCCTTCGTGTTGCTCTCCAGGCATCCAACTCCTGCACACCACAAGAGGCCTTTTTGAAAAATGTCTTAAAAGAACAATCTTTTTCCCCCCTCTTTTTTTTTTTTTTAAAAAAAAGAGTTCTGTTTTCATGGAGTCAGAACAATGACGGCTCAGAAACATTGCCTTATTGCAGATAAACACCCAAAGGTGCTGTCGCGGTCTCCCTCTCACCCACGTGTGTAAGTGATAACAACTTGGTGTACGTATGTAAAGATGTAATTATGCTCTTCCTGTCCTACACAGAGGTCTACTCCTTCTTCCTGCTTCCAGACACCCTTACCCCACAGGTAATTACTGCTGTAGTACAGTGCTGTGGGGTGTTTGCTTCATTCAGAGCTTCTGACGTCTTTTTGGAGCTTAGCGGCAGGAACAGGGATACAGAGAGGGTTTCTTTTTCTCAGCTGTGCTTACAGTAATTACTAGATATAATTCTTCCTCGATACGCACCCAGCCACCCTTCCTCCCGTAAGGAGGAGGACATAACCTCAGAAATCAGTAATTTGGGTTTTATTATTAACATCATCATTATTGTAATTAGTGTTATCATTTATAGCCCACTCTGAGGGGGCCAAAGCAGTTCCTGCTTGATCAGGGGTTTGGGAGTGCTCAAGACTGAGGTTCCCCACAGCTGGGGAAGCCTCTTGGCATCAGGTAATCGCATAAGGGAGCCCGGGACTGCACAGGTGAGAACTGTAGTTTTAACTTACCTTTTCTTCCAAAAGAGAAAGGAGTTCCTTTTTCTCCTTTCTCTGACTTCACTGGCAAGGTGCTGTCTGCCTTTTGGCAGCTGTGAACCAACCCTCGGGGTGGGGTTTAGGCCAGAAACGTAGCAGCTCCCATGCAGCGAGAGTGACCGACGCCAGCGGTGAGGACGCCGGCGGTGAGGCGTACGGCACAAGTGTACGCACAGTGAGAGAAAGGAGACTGCTGGGTAAAGCAACCGCTTGCAAGGAGCTCAGGAAGCTAGGTACCATTTGTAAATTAAGTGTTTTTCTTTTTTATTTAAATTGATTGCTGGAAAGCATTTTTATCGTGATGTGATGGATAATGACTTTTTTTTTTCTTTTACAATATAAAGAAGCTAATGTACCACCAAGCTATTTGGTAAGAAAAACGGTAGCACGTGCAACGTTTAAACAAAAAAAAAAAAAAAAAAAGGGAGGGGGAGAGAGAGAAAAGTACCACATGTGATTGTTGTTCACAACTGTACAAGTCACAGGAGGTCACCCCCAGGCGTTACCATCTCATTCACAGTAGTAAAAACCTCTACCCATTGTTTTTAGCCTGAATCCCCCAGCATCCCTCCCCCTCCTCTGGGAACGCACAGGTATCTGTCTCATGGTCCACAGCAGGCCAGAATGTGCAACTACATCCACCTCTGTAACAAGGCTTTAAAAAGAACAAAAAAACCAACCCTACAAACAAAAAACCCCACCCCAAATGTATAAATGAGTCTGTTGTACACGTGAAGGAGGGAGGGGGCCACGCCGGAGTGAGGCCTGTGACCCTTCCTCCCCCCAAAGCACACACTCTCTTCTTCTTCTCTTTTAAAACAAAACAGCTAATAAAAAACCCCAAACAAACACCTCTGCGGGGCTGGAGCACAGGCAGAGTCCGTTCTCTGTGTGTGCCGAAAGGGACAACGTGCCAGGGAAGAGGGCAGCCCCCAGCCCGTGGGACAGCACTCAGCCGCCTGTGCCGTACCATCCACACTGAAGTAAACATGGACCGGAACTTGCCTTTATTATTTTTTTTTTTCCTTTTTGTCTGTCTTTGGTATTGTTTTAAAAGTTGCTAGAGATGCATAGACACCTGAATGAGGAACTGAGTACAGTTTCCAGGGAGGAGGAGATATTTGGGAAGGTGGTTGGTTTCATTTTTGATGGGTTTTTTTGCTCAGGGGTGCTGAGTACCATCGGGAGGAGCGATGCCCGTTCCCCTTCCCTGCTTGGAGTCACACCCAGGAGTTCCTGAAAGCCACGTTTCTTTGAAGGCAAAGAAAAGTGTTCGTTCCCTGTCCACGGCGCTCCGTCTCAGCCTGGTGAGCGAGAAGGGGTGTGAAAGGGAATGGCGATGCTGCTGCCATCCGCCAGAATCATTTTCTTTCTCTTCGCTTGCGTCGTCTCAGTACATCTTTGGATAGTTTTCTTTCCTTCCCTTTTTACAGTTTTTAAAACTTCTGTGTGTGATTGTTGGTTTGTTGGTTGGTTGGTTGGTTGTTGTGGTGTGTTTTTTTTTTTTAAACAAAAAGCAAATGCATCCAAAAAAATTAAAAACCTCCCTTCCTCACTCCTGTGTCTCACACTGCCGAGGGAGGCTCTCCTGGTCTCTCAAAACGCGTTACCTTCAGTTTGTTCAACTGAACCTCAGTTCCAGAAGCAGTCAAGAGCTGTCCCGCAGTTAAGATGGAGGTTTCGTGGTGTCATTGATCCCAGCGATGATGGAGGGGTTTCCGTTTTCCTGCTTTGGTGAGACGCGGCTGGCGGAGGGCAGGCCGCTGCTGAACGGGGAGGCCACGCTGCCCGTGGAGGACGGCCGGAGATCAGCTGGGGGCAGGTCCCGCTCTGGCGGCCGTAAACCGGGAGGTTGCAGGGGGAAAGCCATGGGGAAGCCTGCCATGTACAGAACTCTGCCCACTCTCTTGGCGACCTGTTAAAAAATATAAAAATCAAGAGGAAATAAACGCAGGCAGGCAACAAGGGATGAGAACGTGCCCAAACTGTCTTCAGAAACCCACAGGAGCTGCGTTTTCACGTAGCAAGCCCAAGTTCTGTGCTCTGAAGTGAACTGCAGATAGAAGATTTGTGTTACTCCATTTGAATTAAGAGCTGCCATTCCCAATTCACCAAAAAAACCCCACCTTGGTGACTTACCAGGGAGGAGCAGGGAGGGTTTCCCCCTCTCTCCTTTTTTCTAAAGAACTCTGTCCGGCAGTAGTGCTCCCTACCTCGGCTGTACTGGGAACGTCGGTGCATGGCACCGAAGTACAGCTGGAGCTACAAGGTCCACCCTGGATCACGTCTCAGGCTAAAGGTGCGCTGGGACTCGCAGTGCGGCCCCTTTTCTGTGTTTTATGTCCGTCTGTGTTCTTTGGCCAGAAGGAGACTGAGGGCCATGCTGAGGCGTGGGCTGAAAGGACGCGTGCAACCCAAAGCCGAACCAAGTCCAGCCTCTGATCTGAAATAATCAGGTCTCACTGTTTCACCCGGGGACTATGGAAACTTGCAGCCTGTTACTTCCCTGGCCAGGTAAGGCCACGTGGACAGCTGGGATGGTGTTCTTCACCTGCCGTGGACCCCAGATCCCCTTCGGGAGTGGGACACAGTGGTGGTAAGCAGCAGTTCCTGGGTCATCTCTGCTGCACGCGGCGTTGGGAACGCGCCCGTCTGTAGCTGCTGTCAGAGAACGACCGACTCCTGCCACGTCTGTTAGTTCATTAACAGGCGCCACTGGATGGACAGGTTGTTACAACACTTCTCCTCTCCTTTTGCTCCCCCAGCGCAGGGTACCCTACAGCAGGCCGGTGCTCCATCCGCTTCTGAAGAGCAGCAATGGCTCTTGAGAGGGGGTGAGGGGGGCTGGGACAACGGGGTGAGGGAGGGAAAATAAAAAAATAAAAAAATCTGACTACAGGGTGGCTGCTGTTAACTGCACAGGAAACTGTTAGCCTGCAGCCTCTCCCTTCTTCGGCAGCACCGAAGAAAACTCTCCTGAAGCAGTTCTCGCCTCCCAGCAAGGGCCAAAGGCCCCACAACTTTCCAGCACCTACACAGCTGTTTCACATTTCGGCTTAAACAAAAACACAGGCTTGTGTTCAAACCAGACAACCGCGGCATTATTCAGTTAGCAACATCAGGACTTCGCTCCCCACTTACTCCCCCCGCCCCAACCATGCCTTATTACAGAACTTTAAACACTATTGATTAAATCGAAGCAGGGTTTTTCTAGTTTCAGCCCATATCTCATATTCCCCTCACCAAATCCGATCTACGAATGTCTGTGAGCTATTTGGCGTTCTCTGTTTTTTAAGAAACATAAGAGTTTTATTTCCTACCGAATTGACCCACGGGGAACAATTGCCCACAGAACCTTTTTATTAGACCCCTCATAAACAGGGAGGGCTGTAGGCAAAGTAGTAAAGTTGGTCTTATTGTTTTAACATAATGTAACAAATGTATAGCTTGTGGGTTCGGGAACCGCTGCCAGAACAGCGCCTATCTGTGCAGCCCACGTACGCGCACACGCACGTTGCTGTCATAGCTCTTCGCGTGACATAATCCCCGAGGGAACAGAATAGCACAGCCTGTTCCTGACATGTGTCAGGAGCTGGTTTCTGACCATTAAATGGGAAAAAAAAGAAGCTAACGGAGATGTTCTTCTAGGTTTGAGTCCAACCAAAGGGAATGGGGGCAATGGCAATGGAAGTCCCCGTGCCCGCGGCCACCGGCCGGGGAAGGCAGGAGAGCGGCGAGGCAGCGTTAGGAACGCAGCGGTCTGCAGCGGGGAGAGACTGGGGAGCCACGGCATGGAGGGGGGGGGGGAAGGTTATTTTTCGAAGCCGAAATATTACTGTAAGGGCACACAGCAAACTCGTCTGTTGAGGAGAAAATACTGTCCCCTAAAAGAGGGAACTTGATTAAATCAACAGAGGCAAATATGATTTCTACTTCCAATGTATCAAAATACAAGTGAGTAGCACGCACGGGGGGTGTGGGGGTGCAGTGGGGGGCAGGAGGGGGCACGGCCCATCAGCAAGACCAGTAAGCGATGACTAGCAAGAGAGAAAAACGGTACCCAAGTCTATTACTAGCACAGCAGAGAAGGGAAGGAGCTGGTCCATTACTCACTGGGGAGGGAAAGTAATCAACAGATGATGCTGAGATGTGTTAAATGTGTTTGTGCTTCAAGCCTCGCTAAGGAGAACTGCCAGGAGCCAGCTCGTTACAAGGAAAACGAGCAGCAAAAGGACTTGCATCCAGTCCAGAAAAAGAGACAACTGGTTCCTGAGATGACTTTATCCAGTTCTTTAGGTACTTTGGGATGACTACTTTCAGGTTCAGCTGCGCTGAAACCATCTCCACCTTCCTCACCTGTTTACGGCTTTTCTTCTTTCCTGGCCGGTATTTGGGGGACCAACAGGAGCGGGGCCATTTTAGGAGTTTCCCACTGCATCCCTGTTACTCCCTCCCACCACTTGGCCTGAACCATTTGCTTCTGCCCCTGGGCACTGAATAGCGGCCGTGTTTTCTTCCTGAAAGAGTTACGTGACTGGCTCCAGATGAGGAGCTACATTTTGGTAGACAGATAAAGCTTTCTTGAAACCAGAATTACAAATAAATAAACAAACAATTATCGCTCGATAAATTGTATTGAATAAACCATGTCTCTTGACAGCCGTATTCCAGCAAGGGACAACTTTAAAGTGTGCCTCATCGGAAGTTTTCCTACCTGTGACCTTATCTTCAGTGCAGGTCCGAGTTTCAGCCCCATATTGTTCAGTAAGTGCTCTTCCGTCAGGAGGGGCAGGGTCTCGCCGTCAATCGCCTGCTCTCGGAATACCTGGAAGAAACCGGAACGCAGGTCCAGGCTTAGAAACACCAGTGACATACCTGATGCTCTCGTCTTGCTGCTGCACAGAAGGGCGCCGTAGAAAAGGCAGCCTCCGAGAGCCTCAGTGGTGAAGTAGGCGCAGAGTAATAACACGAGAAGTCTATACAATCCTGTATCCACGGCTGGGAGCCAACACGTAAAAGGAGATACACGGGAATGTCAATTAGGGCTGGTTGGGCCAGTTTAGATACAGCAGTATTTTTATTTTTATTTTATTTTTTTACTTTTTTTTTAATGTTGGGATGGGCCATGAAGTTTTTGCTCTGGGGAACACGCCCAGGTTTAGCGACCACGACTGCTGACCTACTGCAACATCATGAGCAAGCCCAGCTGATAGCGTACGATAGCGGATTCGAGAAAGCAGAGTGCCATGCCCAGGGAGCCCTATCCCAACTTCAAAAAGGGCAGAAGACATAGGAGAAAAGATAAGAATCTAAAATTTGGCAAATCCTAGGTCACTCACACTCGTGTGGATATTGGGAAAAAGTTGACCCAGTAGACTTCAAAAGTATTTGCAGTCTTCAGTGAGGCATATGCCATTGAAAAGGAGGAACTCGCTTGTTCATGCATTTCCTTCTCAAAGCTGCTAATTTCCAAAAGAGTCTCCCGGCAAAATACATAAACAGATCTGTGGAGCACATTCTGCAGGTTAGAGGGATTCGTGTGCAACACTCAGTTTTGCACCTTTTTTTTTTTTTCCTTTTTCTTTTTTTCCCTCCTTTGCCTGCCGTACATTACAGCCATCCCTCGAACACGCCGGCAGCCTGGAGCACACAGCCCCTCCCGCCGTCTGGCAGTGACTCCTCATACCCAGAACACCTACTGGGATCGGGGAGGATGAGCCCTCCTCCCCGGGCTGTTTTAGCACTACGCCCTTTCTTTTTTTCCCCAACGCTTCTAGCAACGTGGACTAACAAATATCACGGTGCCACCGTACTGAGGTGGCCAAGCGGTACCACTGAACATGGCACCATCCGACTGAGTCGCCCACGTTGGCCTCTCAGCCGGTTTCCACTAACACTCCAGCGAGTCTCCAACCCCTCTCCCCGTCAGCTGAGCGAAGCAGAACCGGGGGATGTGCGTACGTATAATCACCGAAATGACAGCAGGGCTAGTACAGTTTTATAAAATGGCAGTTTCATATGAACACATTCTAATACACCCAGCCATGCAAAACGATACCATTTTAACACGTTCTTAAGGACAGAAATAAAATACTTTGTTTTGCCTCCATCTATTTCGAATGACAGGGTCATGCAAGAGTTTTCCACCTAATCTGTACTGTGTTATAAAGGTTAAAGTCTGGATATGCGGTCTTATTGCTCCATTCTTCATATATAGGGCAGGGCTATGCTCACACCAGTCTCCCCAGGGTGTTTATTCTGGACACACGGGCTCAATACTTCAAGAGTAAACTGCCATCGTTCGGTAATTTAGCCAGCAGGTTCCCCTCGGTTCTGGGAGATGTCAGTCAGATGTCTGGTTTGGTGTTTTTTATGAAACCACACCTCCCCTCCATAGCAATTTTTCACACCCCAGCTCATCCTGGAGCTGGCCCAACTGGCCTGCGTGTGGGGCCTGATCCCGCTGTCTCTCCACGCAGTGGCTGATGCGTAGCGTTATTATTACTAAACGCTGTGGCGAGGGAAGGGGGTTCAATTCATTTAACGGCTTCTTTTTCCGCAGCAGACCGTAGCCCAGAGCCATCCCTTCGGAGGGTGGCAGTGGCTGTTAGAGCCACGGCGGCTGAGCTGTTGCAAGCGTTTTTTATTGCTGGACTCCACCAGCAAAGCTGCTCGTGACTGCAGCATGTGTTTCTGCTCTTTGACCTAGCAAAACTTACTATACCGATTTCTTTTCCTTCCTCTGAAGCCAGTGTGGCCGGGAGCCAAAAGCCTCCCTTCGCTCAGCGCTATAAACCCTCCACAAAGCGCCTTAACTTGAGAAAAGCATCCCCCTTGGGTGTCCCGCAGGTCTTGATCCACGGCAGGGACAAAGCTGAATATTGTCGAGGGCTGAGATCAGGCATGGCAACTTTTGGTTTTGCTGAAGTTGTCTTGTTTGTCTGAAACATGTTTCTAAATGCGCAGCGTACCACCAAACCCTCGCTGGGTTTTCCTGGCAGAAGCCCGCAGACCAGTGCCAGACCTCCCCGGCAGCTGTGGTTTTGGAGACGGGAACACAGACAGCTCTGCAGCTTAGGGCCACGGCGCTGGGTCACCCTTGAACACTGGCATTTGCACATAGTAAAGAACCTGTTAAGCACGAAACCATAGTGCATAAAAACGCATCATCCCTTAAGCCACGCACCTCCCCATAACGCAACACAGCAAGGCCACGCCGGGAGGCTGTTTACAGCAGCTCCCATTATCGTAAAACATTTTGTCTGCAAGGCACTGAGAAGATTGCTGAACCTTTGTCTCAGCGAGCTATTGATTTCTTCCCCACTGGTGTACCAGGAGCCGGCACGGAAGGTGTAAATGGATGAGCCTTCCGCAAGGCGGTCGCATTAAAGATTTCTGCACATTTCCTACTGGCCCAATTCAGAAGCTTCCAGGCAACTCTGATCTTCGTTCCCCAATGCAGGAATGTGGACACGCTGAACCACCACCAGTGCAAGAGCACTCCGTTTGGGTTGGGGGGGGTAACACAAAATGCGAGTAGCGGTGTATTTTGGGTTTAGAGCCTTTTGCTTGAGCTCTCTTCAGCACATACTGCAGCCCACACGTACGCTCCTGAACCCACCACCCATCCCCGTACCCTCCTCACTGAACCCAGCTCCTGAGCTCCCCTCTACAGGCACAGACCCGCTGCTTCTCCCTCCCTTAAACACCCATCCATCCACCCTCTTTTTTTCACCAGTGTCCTTTCCCTCCCTCTTTCCATCATCAGAGAGTGACCCCTTCTCTCTTGACACCCGGTCACCCTGATCGACTCCCAAGCACAACCCAAATCTCTGTCATTCCTCTTGGGAAATGTTACATGTACCCATCTCCCTAACAAGCATTCACTTTCCTAAATACACGCACGCACAGCTGTTTGCTCCAAAGCAGCCCTGGTTTTATACGTGGTTTTAACAAAGCACGTTGCCATGGGACGAACATCACGGTTCGGGGCAAGGAAGGTCACACTTTGGATTGAAAGCACATTATCCCATCAAGAAGGGGGACGCATGGGGCAATTCCAGGTTTCTGCTTCCCCGTCCCCTCTGGAGGGATTCCCCCTGGCACACTACCAAACCAGCATCTCCTAGAGCGAATCCCTGCTGTCCTAACAGGCGGCCCCAGCAGGAGCAGGGCCGGGTGCTGAGCTTCACCCTGCTCAGCGCGGCTGGGGGAGGGCACAGGCTCTGGGAGAGGACCATCTGCCCAACGCAACTAACGGGGAGAGACAGCAAGGGCCAAAGAGGAGGCAGATTTTTAGAAATCAGATTTCAGCCAGCCTGGATGTCAAAGCACGGCTTTGCACTCCTTAGCTGTCAGTCAGGGAAGCTCCTCTCTCGAAGCGGCATGTGCGGAAGCTGAACTCCTGCTCTCCTTCCTCCCTTCGGAGACCTGTTCTCAGCCCAGGATGTCTCTCTGCTGAAAGGCCGGATTGTCCCGAACTTTGGCCCTTTGCCTCTCTATCTCTGCTACTTTCAGTCTCTCCCTTCTAAGCTCGCTGCATCCTCTCTGCAAGGCGGTCCCAGACAGCTCAGCAATCTGTGCCTTTGCAGTTGCTGCGTTTTCTCAATGGGGCATTTATAATGGACTCGAGCAGATGCGGAAGCCAAAAACACAGGGTTGTTTTTTGTATTGCACCTCACGACCTCACACTGAGCAGGCTTTACGAAGCCCCCAGTACTGATGGACGTTTCAACTCTGCTATAATGAGCTGAAAAATCCCAGTCACCATCACTCCACAGCGTAAGCGTGGAGGCTACTCTGACCTCTCGCCGCCCCGCGCTGCCCGCACAGTGCTCTGGGTGCAGCAGGAGGACGCAGCACCTTCTGCCAGGCTGGGTGGTACCGCGGGGGCTGCCCCCCCCAACCCAGGGACTACCTGACAGCCCAACCCTCAGCACAGCCGCTCCGCACAAAGCCGTGGCTGTGCTGAGCTCTGCGACAGAGCACAGGGCAGCTTCTGAAAGCAGTGAGAGAGAAGTGCCACTAAGAGCCACTAACCGTGATCAACCCTGCAACTCAGATGCTCCCTCCAAACCTTGGCCCTACTCCCATCCTCTCCCGCTGGACTCCTCATCGCTATCCATGCGCAAGGCCCATCACACCTCGTGGGGTGTTAGCCGGCAGCAAGTACCTATTTAGCAATCCACTAGGGGAAAAAAAAAAACAACCCACCAAAAAGCTTTAAGCCCTGCAGGGCTCTGAGCTATACCTTCTCCTAGGAGGGACGGTGCAAGTAAAACAGGCACAGATGGGAGGGAGGACGTTCCTCCCGTGATGTTCTCGGGGCTGTTAAGAGATTTACCTGAGTGTACTCGGTGCAGCCAGACAAGTTGGACACAAAGCTGCATACATCCTCCACCGTCCATTTGCTGATGTCTTCCAGCGCAGGGCTTTCCTCGCCATCCAGAAAGAGACCTCCCATGGTGCCTGGCTTGTTTGGAGTTTGGGGGGGGGGGGTGTAGGAAGGAGGGGAGGAGAAAGAAACATAAATCATTAAAATCCCACACGGACAACAACTAGCCTGCAATCTGAATATTTTTCTCTAGCCACACATTCATCTTTAATGACCTGTCAATTAAAGCACTGGGCAGGGTCAGTTCATAGGCCTCTTCCTCCTGGAGGTCCCCAGCTTAGAAAGGGGGGCAGGGGAAAGGAAAAAATCCAAGCTAATGCATTTCATGTGTTTAATGTTCTTCAGCTGCGGGGAAGAAATGGGGGGAGGGGAGGGGAGGGGAGAGAAAAGAAAAAAAACCCTGAAGGAGTGTTTCTCCACACGCACCGCAAAGCGGAAAACTCTGACTGCCCTGTGGGTTTCTTTCCCCCAGCCCTTCTCCTGGCTACGTGCTCCGAATGATAACAGGCCCCGGCACCTCTCCCCGGTGGCCCGCTGCCTTGCCGGAGCGTGAATCACTGGAGAACGTCTTGCTCTTTTCAAAGTGTTCATTTTCAATCCACCCCAGCCTGAAATATCCATCGCATCGGTCTGCCCCAACACAGCAGAATACACCGCCCGCCGTCCACCCCGCCGCAGGAGCCGGGCATCTCTCCTGGCCCAGCATCTGACGGGTGACGGGATGACCCCTGCCAGCCCCCGCGACGCTCTGAAGACATCACAGCTCAGTTCAAGCCGATATGTCAATTCTCCGCAACGCAACAGCTGTTCAGGTCCCAGCCCTGTCAGCAGAGACGAAGGTGATGGGTTCCAAAAGGGTGGGAGAGAGCCCCCCCCGCCGCCCTGCGTCGCCAGTGCCTGACAGCACGGGACGTGCACGCGGGGAGAGAACCAGAGTGGAGCCGAGAGAGGAGCTGGAGGAGAGACACAGAGAATAAGAAATGGCGAGAGAGATGCCAGCCAGGTAACTCCTATCTGCTGTAGGGTGTAAAAGGAAAAGTGCAGAAACAAGTAATGAAGAAACCTGGCTCCAGACAACATCGCTTTGGGGGGGGGGGGGGGGAGGAGAAGGCATTATTAACCTGTGGAACTCACTGCTGCATGATATCATTTAGACCAAGATCAAAAGGACAGTTATAGGGATGTTTATAGCGGGTAGAAAAAGACTTTATGAGGGGTATAAACTGTTATGCTTCAGGGCACAAAGCAACAAATTACCAGAAAAAATATTTCTCCCAGGGGTCTATCATGACAAAATTATGTGTTCTGTAGGCTTAAGGTTTTTCCCCGAGGCGTCTGATCAGCACTGTGGATGTAATCCCTCGCTGCGACTCCTTCGCTCCCGTCCGCAGCGGGTCGGCGAGCACTTCTCCGCAACAGTGCCAAGGTAAAGGGATGCAACGCAACCGCGGTGGGGAGCAGAAGCCCAGAGGAGGAGCGGTGGCCGGTTCCCTGCGGGAACGCACCAGGTCAGAGGCAAGTGGCGCAGAAAGAGCAAACAGCCAAGCCACACGCCGAGTCCCCACTGGTGAGCTGGCGAAGCCACCGGCACCGTCCAAGGCAACAGGAAAAGCACAGGATGTACAGAGGAAGTTATCATGCCAATAAGATACTTTTAAAACAACAGCACAAGCAGCAGTCAGACGCTATGTAATCATTTCCGCTACATTTCCGCTCCCAGCTTCCTCCTTCCCTTCCCAGCCTCACCCTCCGCACTGTTCCTGCAGCTCCACCACCACGTGGGGAAGGAGAGAGCGGTGCCCGTCTGCAGCCCACTCCCCGCTGGGCACTGGACGTGCATCTCCCAGCGCAGCAGTGACACGGGGACCACGGGGCGACTGGGGAGGGACAGCCATTGCTCACAAACGGCCCCGTCCGCGTCTCTCCTTACACACACGGGCCGGCGCAAACAGCCGAGTGCCAACTCCAGCGCTGGAGCCATGGGGAGAAACAGAAGCCCTCCAAGTCCTGCTGCCTCTGCCAGCTCTACCTGTCCCTCTGGAGCAGAGACGGGGCTGTCCCGCTCTCTCCACATGCCACGGGGGCTCAGGCATCTCTTCATAGGCCGCTCTGCCAGCACTGTGTACCAGCCCGGGACCCTCAGGGCACCAGACCCTTCCTGGTCTAGTGGAAAGTGTCCCTGCCCAGGGCAGGGGTTGGAACTAGATGATCTTTAAGGTCCCTTCCAACTCAAACCATTCTATGATTCACACCCCCTTCGCATCCTTAGTCTCTACCTTCTGGCGTCCCTTAGTCCTGGCAGTCCCAGCCTTGCTCTTGCTCTGCTTGCGGCTCCCAGGAGAGCTCTGCCCGGCCGTGACGTGCCCAGCACGGAGACCCTCGCCACCCTGCGCCCCGCTGGGGGCCAGGCAGCTCCTCGCTCTCTTTGCGCCCCTTCTTCTCGCAGCTGGAACAAGCTTCAAATACTTTTGTGTGTCTGATAACAGCTGCAGAGAAAACGACCGGCTTTCCAGCAAGCTAGTCGCCCGTCGGCACGGGAGGGGGAGGCAGAGGCCGTTGCCAAAGGGCCAGCGAGCACCTTCCTTCCCCTCGCCACCCCCAGACAGACAGATGGACAAGAGCCCCTCATTCTCATTCCTATCACATTCTGTTTTCCAGGAGACAAACTCACAGCTGCTTACGTTAAAATTCACAAAACACTCAAATGGGCTGAGGGCTTTTTTTTTTTTTTCTTTTTTTTTTTTTTTTTTCTTTTTCACGGGGGGGT